TATTTGGGACAAATAATTACAAAGTAGGGGGAGAATGTAACATAGATGGTCAAGGAAAGGGAGGGGGTTAAAACTGACTCAGAAATAGGGAGAGGGTTATCACTGAATGCATATTTGCTCTTGGGGATTAATCATTCAATTTAATTGTAACTTTACATAAGACCATCCATGTCACTTCACACCTCTAGGAAACCAACTGTAATAAAGATAAGTACTTTGATCTAGTGGGTTTCCTGGAGTGGTCGGAGATCTCCCCTTGCTTTGAACCCATGTTTTTATTGTATATTTGATTATTTATCCATTTGGCCCAGTGCCAGTTGGCTTCATGCCCAGTTGGCCTGGTGCCAGTTGGCTATTTGCCAACCTGGCTCTTTGCCAAAAACAGGCTGTATATATATAAGAATTGTGTAGCCTCAGTGGAGTTGATTTTAGAGTTGATTAGAGACAGTGTGATTTTGCAGAGTAAGATTCAGTTGTTGAGTTTTAGAGTATAATCAGTCGGTTACAACCAGGAAATTACTTAGGACATGTAAAGTTATATTAATCAATGAACAATAAAAGAAATAGAAATCAAACTAACATTTTATGTTACTGCCACTAGACGACACGAGCCACAACATTATATTTTATGACAATAATTTGTTACATATATCCAATATCTAATATATCCACGTTGAAGTATACAAATATTGGGGCTCCCCACGGGGTATTTGACAAGGTGACCTGGCTTCTATAAAAGTGTATCTATGGGGTCCTAAAACGAACAAAAGTTGTTCACGAAGTGGTCATTTCTAGCATTATTCTGATTGTGACAAAAAAAGCAAATGAGACAATACACTCGTACACTCGTATTCGAACTCGTACATTGATTTAACCTAAGATGAGTCATTCTAACCAGCTGATGATGTTACACATGACAGATATGATATAATGTAATATAATATAATTTTATATAATAGTCTATAATGCAATACACTTGACAAAAAGAAACATTTAAATGTGACAAGTGGCAATTTTTTTATCTTAAAAATGATTATTTAAAGCGACCTCAAAGTTACTATCCTCTATCGAGGATCCTTGCCACAAATATTATGTTGTTACCATACTCATGTGTCTATATAAAGTGTTGAGGGTTTGTGACTTGTAGCATCTTACCTGATTTTATTTGATGACAAATATCAACAAAATATCAATTATAGAAAGTTTCGATGAGACGATGATTTAATGTAAAAAGGAACAGATAATTTAATATCAACACATAAACATGTACAGTACTGTATGCCGTTTACCAATTCATACTAGATTCAGGAAGTACATAGAAAACAGAAAACAAACAAAAATTATCATGATGTTTTAAATTACGTTGAAAAGTGGAGGTCATGTTTGTGTGTACAAATAATAATGTTTATTTCAATAGATTATTTTATCTACTAAGATTGGACATTTTCCATTAGAATCTTGAGCGTCATATTTTTATGGACCAATACTGCTTAATACTGTTTATTTCATTTATATTAATTATCTGTCGATATTGGACGTTGTACTAGTAAAGTACAACTAGTACGTGTACTAGTATTATATCAATATATGTAATATTATAGTATGTATTACTCTACAAGATAATCGACATAACTTTAGAAGATCTTTCCAAGGATACACTTGGTACAATACATTTTGATTTTTGGCTGTAGAGGGAGGGGGAATTATTTGACACCCTTTGTATTCTTTCGTAGCAGTTTATTTCAACATCAACAATATTATATTCTTTTATTGTTAAAACTTGTACCCGAACTTGGCAATGTCAAGTAAGTAGCACCCTCGATAAAGTTTCGATCAACTCAAAATAAGATTTTATGAAATAAAACTGTCATAAAGAAAAGTATTTACATCAAAAGTATTAAAATGCAATAAAAATAAATAAAACTGTAGTCAATGTGGACGTTGTTCATACTGTCGAAGGTGAATGGACCCTCATGGGTACTTTAAAAAGCCCACCAGGCGGCTATCACGAACTCTGAGACTCTTACCAGGCCACTTTACATCGCCAGCATACCGAATGTCTATATACGTTCGCTTTTTTTCTGCGAGTGAACTCTTAAAAGTGAACTCTGAAACGTATATTGCTACATAAAGTGTTTGTTTTGATATTGGGTTATGGGTCAAATAGTATTTGGAGTCCATTGTGAAATCCCCGAAACATGGTTGAAAATTTTCTTTTCCCTGTGTGTGTCTAAAGAAGTTCGGGACAAAAAACCTAAACGAGCTTAACAATTATATTATTTATTTAGCTTTCTTACTTTCAAGAGCAGCCCTATTCATAAAACCCGTATCAAAGAAAGGTATAATTGATTTGGGTTTATTTAGCACTTTGCCAGCATTCTGTGCAGTTTAGCATTACAGCAGGAAAAACAACTTGGTCTACAACTGTATTTGACTTTCTACCTTTGTCGACACTTCCTTTTCGAAGTGTTCCTGTCTAGGTGAACATACAGGCAAAAGTCTCTTGTTTTGTGACCATTGTTAACGTGTGTACGTAAAAGTTAGTTTAGGTTATAGACTTTCGATTCTACTAAATAAAGGCACAATAAACAGGGAGACAAGATACCAGAAAGCCCCCATAGCGGCGCCTTTACTTAAGCTTCCAAATCAAACAAACTCGACGAAAACTAGAATAAAAAATCACAATGGTGCCATTGTATTCATTTTTCTCCTCATAAAAGTTTCACACTTTTTGTATACGCCTTACAATAGCCCAAAATGGCAAATGTCCTTTGAATGCTTTAAACTCTATTGTATTGATGTCAAAACGCTTGTTTGCATCGTGTAATCATTACCTCTCATGTTAATAAAAACAAAAACGATGTGTCGAATCAAATAATAAAGTATATTTTAACTTTTGCTAGAAGAGAAATGGCCATTGAAATGATTTGTTAAATTTTGGCATACTTTTTGACAGACTCTTTCAGCGTTGTGTTAAGAATCCCCAACAAACGGACGTAAACGATGATAAACTGAGATGCACTTTGTAGGCACATGAAAGAAATCTTCACTCTAATTCATTATTTATTTGACAAATACACGTTTTTAATGAAAATCTTGAAAAAATCAATATGCTTCCTTTCAAAGTTTAATAGATTATCATCTTGTAGACTCGAGTTCATTACGCTTTAATAGGGGTAATGCTTGATGTGAACTATATTCGTAGCTCCTTCAGCTTTGTGTGTGTACATAATACACCAGTGATCATAGTTAAAAAATGAATTCGAAATTATTCGTGAATTGGGTAATTTCTTCAATAGATATGATTTTGGAATATGAAGTCCTAGCCTAGCTATGATTTGAGGTAGAATCTTAAAGTGGCACAACCCCTAACGTTGATTGTAAAATATCCCATTAAAACACCAAAACAATATGTTAGCAAACATACTTTGATACAAACATTTGCTGTAAATATCAGGGCTGTAGAAATCATTGATTGCCTGAAAAGTAAACTTATCTCTTTCGACAAGACGCATCCCCTCATAGAATCGCTACTACTATAGGCATGGTGTTCCAACATTTAACATTTTCAAAGAGGATCACATTCAACAAAATACATGGAAAGTTATGGAAAGTGAAAATAAGTTATAACGATTTTTAAAAGTACAAATCGTTTTTTAAATGTTATTTAGATTGTTAAAGGTTGTGTTACTTTAACCACCAACTTGTTATCGCACAATGGGAGACTGCTAGTTGTCTTGTCTAAGTGCAAGCAAACGATTTTATTTGTTTTAATAGTTTTATAAGGATTTCAATACCATCACCACAGGAAGTCAAAGTTTACTTACACTTTATTTGAACATAAAGAACATATTGTTAAATGACTGGTTCCCGGGGGCTTGATATACGTTTGGTGGGTGACAGCTAAATTTGGCTTGGTACAAACTATTGACGTTGTGTTTACCACATCCAACTACATTGCTACTTGACTCGAGAGAGCAATCACGAGAAACCTTGAGAAATATATATAATATCGCATATTTGACAAAAGTCCTTTAATTAGTAAAATTATTACCAGATAAACATGATTTACAACCTCTTGAGTTTTTAGTGATCAGTCAGGGTCTACATTGTAAGTGCGCACATTGTACGTTTTTTGAAGGTGTTTACGCATGACGTAATAACCCTGCTATCCTGCGTGCAAAACGTAAGCATTTGTAACAAGCATGATTACTCTTTCAAATCATTATTGGATATACCTTGAAAGGTGTATTTCAGTTCCATGTCACTTTGCTAAACACAATAATGTCAAAACTGGGTTTGATGGTTTGCAGCAATTGATCTGGAACTGGAATGATGTTCCTACTTCATTTCAATACAGGAAATATCATTAATATATAAGATAATTTTTACACATCAATGATACTTATAAATTGTATATTATAGCATGAATCATGGGAACGTGTATTACACAGAATAGGTACCTAATAGAAATGTGGTGTCATTTTAGTTATGGAGAATCCCCCATTGAATGCGACCGGCGTCTGTGTGTATTGATGTCACACTATTGCCACTCATTCATTGAGAAGTTAGTTTCAATAAAATATTGAACCAGATAAATATTGTGATAACTCCGTAACAGTGTTTGTCCTTTCAGTCATTTAACTAAGGTATCTTGAAATGTATACAGAACTTTAAAATTAACAACCACTGTGACATCTTCAGCAAAAGCAAAATAAACACATCCATAAAAGAGTGTCATGAAATCTCATAAAATGGGCAGGGTATATAACTATGTTGACAATGATGTTGAATATCTGCCACACCTGGATTATTACAATATAAGATCAATGTTTACATGTTGTTGTCACTTTATATAGAAATATATACCTGTATATCACCTGTATTTACCTGACATTTTGCATTATTACAATATAAGATCAATGTTTACATGTTGTTATCATTTTATATAGAATTGTATATCACCTGTATTTACCTGGCATTTTGCATTATTTTTACAGGTGGTCCACTTTCTGGTCTCGACTTAAAAGATATCGACTTTAAGAAAGTCCTCAAATCACCACAGTAAGATATTTCTCTATCATAAGTTTTATACATATAAATACTGCTCATGAAATGGTTAATGAAGTATGTATATGAATACTCCCCTCTGAAATTTGGCGACCAGAAGTTTCATCTGATAACACATATTGAATAAGCCTATCAAAGTTGGGACCTTAATGTTGTACCATAATGACCAGTTCAGAAATGGTCATTTTTTAAATCACAAATCATGTACAGGCGTTGATAAGTGATCCGAAAACAAATTCCGGTTTTCAAATTTATGGAGGGGAGTGTAAATGTTACGTAATCGCTACGCCATATTGTCGTAATATTACATTTCTCAATCTGACCGTTCTTTGTTAAATGTACTGTATAAATCATAGACCTTAATCTTTGTTATCTATTCAGACATGCAAAATTCTTACGATTGAAAAAATGGACGCGGGTGAAAAATCTCTGTTATCGCGTGATTGAAACATAAACCAATTCATAAATCACCGCACTTTTACGACATCAATCGCAATAGTGGCGTCATTAGTATCATAAAAAATTTTCCAATAAACGAGTATATAGTAAACTACCAATTATCAATATACAATTTCAACTGCAGTCTTTTCTTAAATAAACTTGAACATCCCTAATTCATTTCAATTTTATTGATGTAGACAAGTTTTGTTAACATTTCCTCAAATTCTCGTATGGCAAAACTGAATGAAATGTGATTCTTATTACGATGCCGTTCGTAAAGTTTGTCTCAGTCTCTCGTAAGAGAAAAGATGTACGAGTTTTGTCTAGTCATACTAGACTCCTCTTCCACTTACATCAACAAAATAGCAGAGAATGTTCACAAAGGGCGCATATTCAAGATGTAATAACAGAAAAAGAGCGAAATTAAATCTTCAAAAGCATCGTGTTTTCGAAATTTTGATGATCGCGACATATCATTACATTGTATATCACAATTGGAAAAATAGCAATTTGCTACTGGATACATTTCACATCCACTAACTCGCATAACAAACTCAAAAAATCACAATTGTACTCTGCTGACAAATTACGTTAATTGGAAAATTCGATGATATGATAGAGAACACCAAAGGTATTAAATTTAATTTTTACATTTCAGTGAAAGAAACGAAGTATGTTTGAACATTTGTGACTTCAAGGAATGGAGTGAATGGACTAATTGTACAGCTACGTGTGGGGGCGGTAACCAATGGCGACGTCGCTATCTCTGCTGCCCCAAAAATGAAACAGTTAATGGGTGCTACAGACATTGTCAAAAGAAATGCTGCCAAGAGCACAATAAAAAAGACAGTAAATGCAATAGATTCAAACAATGTAAATTTGAACCTATATCCCATTGGGAGAGCCAGGAATGCAACACAAGATGTTATAACGGTGGTAGTTATCTGGGAGTAGATAAAAACTGTGGATGTAGAAATGGGTTCGAAGGAGCCTGTTGTGAAATAGGTATGTACTAACAGGGTACTTTTTGTGTAATCGTCCTGAATTTCAAATGTTTTGAGATGTTCTACCAATGCCGTTATCTAGCGGATGTGAATGGGGTCATTCGATACTGTTTGCTTGTTATTTGTATTTATTTGTTTGTTGTTTGTATCTGTTTGTTTGATGTTTGTATTTGTTTGATTGTAAGTCATTGATTGGGTTGCTGGGGTATATGTTCATACAGCTGGCTGGGCGTTATGATATTCCTTTTCCTGATTATGTTAACATTTTTTATTTCCACTTGAGATTTAAGTATCCTTGTTCTCTCACCCTTCATTCTTGTTCAAACAAAACAGCTTCACCAACATATTCGTCACGCTTCATTAAACCCTTTTTTAAGTTAAACATATTATTAGTATATGCAGGGGCGTAGCCAGAGGGGGTCAGTGGAGCAAGCTAAAATCATGCAGATTTTCATCATTCTGAGCACAAAAAAGTGATTTAGGGCCAGAATGGTCAAATCTTAACCCCCTGGAATTTTCAAAAGGGACCACCTTGGCAAAAGCTGTATTGAAGCAATGCAGTTATTACCGTTCCAAATAACATTCAAATCATGATATGTTCTTCTGATTATTTTCAGAAAAGGAACAGTCCCTTGAAGCCTTTCTGGAACTGAATATTAAGAGACAGGGAGAACGTACTACACATCACCGCCACCGTCACGACCATCGGCAAAGACAGCGTAATGGCAACGGATGATATTGTATCGTACAATGCTGAAACAGTTGCATTCTAGATGGTGCCAAATATTTATTTTTCTAAGTCAGCAAAAGCTATGATGTGATTAACACGTAATCTACACGTTATCCACACGTGGCGATAGACAATCAAGTGATCAGACCGAACGAACGACCACTTACAAACAATGTACATATTATACATATGTGATAAGAAGTGAATAAAAAGAAACAATTGATTGGCCAGCGCAAGGGATGGAACATTACCTCATAGGGAAAATGATTGAAGATGGCAGGTGATATCGGCAGATAATTTCGTGTATAGAGACGATTATTATCAGATGTCATCGTGTTACCTTAAACAATGATTGAACGATTCAAATACGTCAAACGTCCCCAGAGGGGAAAAGGATTGTTTGGAAAATTTTGAGGATCTGCACATATTTCAATTGGTCGAAAAATTTGGAATCGTAACATCTATATTTTTTATCAATTTCTAAGGAATTTGTATTATGACTCGGAATTTCAACTTACACACTTACAGCTAAGCTGCTCCACCTTAAAGATCCACGTGGCACATTTTGGTTTGAAATATTAATTTTGCGATACTCGCCGTTTTAAACACTTTCCTCAAACCGTTTGGCAGTCACAAACGCCCTCCCCAATTGGAGCATAATGCTATGTTAGTAAGGCCTTATTCATGAAATTAAAAAATCGAATCCCAATATGGATACTATGAACAATATGCTCACATTATTCAATGGGTATTGGTGTTGTCAACCTTTTAGAGAGGTTTATTTTTTCCACATGAAAAGTTACTCTCCAAGAAGAGCCCATGATGAAACATTGGTGGATATCCAATATGTATGCACTCGTATGCCGATACTACCATTACGTGAGCATTAAGCTAAAATACTGAAAGAATGTTCTGATGACTAAAGGTCCCTTCATATATGAAAGAAAACCCCCCGATGTCAACTTGCGTGCAGGTTCTATTAGAGCTTGAGTAAAATTCGTTCCCATTAGTATATGTACGTTGTACATCGTTTGGGTGCTCGTATGAATTGAAGTATCATTTTGGAAAGCTTCGGACGGCTTCGGAAACATGCGTAAAGATGCGCTTTGGTTCGCATGTTTAACGTTCCCAATCGCCTTAATTTACAATTCATCCAACTCGCAAGACTGCGTTTAGTGGATTCGTCCATATGTGAAGGGGCCTTATGTCTTGATATAATTTATTACCAGTATCATGGGATGAAATAATTAATCACCATTTTGCATGGATTTTACACTTTTCGACGTAAGGTACCATATAAAACAGTATGTATTATTTGGAAGCATTTACTATTATTTAGATACACGAATGCCCTCTATATAATACTAGATGTCGGAATGCCAAGTTAAAGACAATCTTAGGAATCAATGTTAATGTAATATGATTATGAAATGAACATACAGAATCTCAACCCTTTCACTTACTATGTTTGAAGATTTGTATTATATTATGATGAAAATATACATGTTCTTCTTTTTGTACGTCTGTGTTTGTATGTATTCTAACTACGATGTAATACGTAAGTATGAACATAGCCCTTGAGATCATTAAGCTTCGCCGAACTAGAATTATTACTAGCCCAGCATCACCCGTGTCATGTAAAAGTCGGGGTAAACGTATCCTATATAATAGATAAAACATACTGCCTTTCAGACAGAATATGATGTCTTAAAGAAAGAAGCAATTGGTATTTTCTCTTTGCAATTATTTCTCTTTTTCTCGATAACAATAATTACAACTAGTTAATTTCCACTTAGCATTATACCCCCGCCCCTCTGCTCCACCATATATATATACTAGTATACCAGGGAAGTCTTATCTTTACCGGGATGAATATAAAATGGGCATTCAGCGATGTTGGCTTGCTGGTTATAACCGTCACTCAAACAAATCAATCAGGGCATTGAATTGGGTGATTTCAGAAAAGTTGGACTTTTGGAAACAAACTATTAATGAGACATCTATATTTCAAAAATAATTTGATTGTCATTTTCAAGGTGACCCGAAAACACAAATCCGCTCAATATTGAAATAATAATAATTCCTCAATATTAATGGAATTAACTTTACCTTCCAGGTAGAATAACTGAAATATATGAAAGGCAATATAGTACGTCCGTTTTATCATCTATACCTAGACCATCTATACAAGATTACATCCAGAGAGGCTTCTAAGACCAGGATCCTTTCAAAACATCGTGCAAGATTTCTGTACCGAAAACCATTATACCGAAACCAGTTGTACCAAAAACATTTGTACCGAAAAGCATTACGCCGACGCGCATTGTACCGAAAATCATTATTGAAACCATGATATATGAAGTTCAAGACCTAAGGATTTTCGGCCCGAATTATCGATTTTCAAGTTTTTGTTGTTGAGTATTTTCATCAATCGGCCGTATCATGGCCGATGAATCGGGGCAAATGTGACTGAGTATTCTGGTCAGAACTGTATACAATTTTGCCAAAATACTCAATCGGCCCATGAATCGGAGCAAATGTGCCCGAGCCATTACCGTGACTTTTACGGCTACATACACTACATGATTATGTATACGACATTCCACAGATCGACTTTCTTCATAATATATCCCTCTGAACTTCTTTGTTCGATGGGATAATAATATCTTGTGGGTAATGTAGCCAGAGGGCATGCTCCCCCGGAAAATTTAGGAGTTTTGGGCTGATTTAGTGCGTTCTGATCGATTCTAGGATCAAAGTATATGATTCACGTATTTCTAAAAATTGAATTTTTAGGCTTATTTGGCGCATTCTGGGCAATTCTGGTGCATTCTGAGCAATTGTAGGATCTAAATAAATGATTTACGTATTTAAAAAAAACTTAATATTTAGGCTTTTTAGCACATTCTGGCCGATTCTGATGCGTTCTGATCGTTCTAGGGATCAACATAATATTATATGATTTACGTATTTTAAAAAATCGAATTTTTAGGCTTATTTGACACGTTCTGAGCGATTCAAGGATCAAAATATATGATTTATTAAAAAATCAGAGGCATGCTCCCTCGAAAAAAGTTAAGATTTTTGGGCTGATTTAGTGTGTTCTTGGCAATTCGAGGATAAAAATATATGATTAATGTATTTAAAAAATTGAATATTTAGGCTTATTTGGCACCTTCTGAGCGATTAAAGAATCAAAATATATGAAGAATTTGGCAATCACATCAAAATACACCGTACATATGTCACCAAATGTTACCTTCTTCCTCGAAATATAAGAAAATTCTTCAAGAAAGCAAAAAAGGTAGGTCCACATTGTTTTAGGAGATATCTGGGGGGGGGGGTACACGCTCTTACGGTATAAGAGCTGTGAAAAATATTGTTTATGGTATAAAAGGGATGAAAAAATATTGTAGAGCTGAAAAATATTGTATATGGATTTCCAAAATTCCCTATACAACTGATTTCCGCAGATCAATGAACAAAATGATACTTTTTTTGTAACGAGGATCTTGTACTTATTTAAAAGTAAATATTTTGAAGGGTAGCACTTACCCCGCGAGGACAGTAATTTTGACCGTTCGGGTACGAGCTCCCTTAAAACGTGTGGCTTAGCCTTCCTATCATTGCTTGCCGTACGTACTGTAGTTGATGATACAGTGGAATACTGATTCTGATGATACATAACCGCCTACCTCATTGGCGTATCCAGGATTTGACAGGAGGAGGTTTTTCGGCAAAAATTTTTTTGGAGCCACCTAACGGTGAATTTGGTGAACACTTTTCCAAAGGAACGTGAGTTGTTTGTAGAAAGAAGAGGTGGAGTTTTTCATGCATTTCGCTTATGTTTTTCATTTTAAAAACAGGAATACACTTTAAAACGTTTTATGGACTATACGATTACACCATATAATCCAATAAATTATTTCTCAATTTCAAGGATTATCTATGGATTAGCCCAGGTATTTTTCAAACTTCAGAGGACTGGGAATCATTGATAATCAATGCTTTGGATAAGATATGAATGCTATTTAAATATCCATGTCACGCAGGAATAGCCTGACAACGGTAAAGTCAGATTCTGTTGTCACGAATGGCGGACATACGTCGCTTCAATTAGATTTTCATGAACTGTATGTTTAATAGAGCACCTAGACTAAATTCCTCTGGAACAACAATCAATCAAAGTGTATTTATACTCATTGTACAGTTAATAATATTCTACCAGCGAAACAAAGTCTTTAATTTAACCGATCAAAATGAGATACGGGACAACGGCACCATATGCCGCTGTCTTTTTAAATTATTTCAAATTCAGATTCACGATAGGTACGATGGTAAATAACAAAAAAAATGCTCAAACAACCGCGATATTGGAGTATTTTTAAAGTATTTGGCTTCACTTTTTAACATTCTGTGATCCTGGCTATTAAATGATATTTGGAACTGAAGTCTATGTCAATGCATTGGGAATGATTACCTATTCAAATGAACATCCAATGTCAAATCATAAACCAATGAAAATCATCTTCATGTATGGAGTGACCACTGTGGTTTTCATAAGCATTTGCATTTATGTAATCCTCGATCTTCCCAGTAATTTAATTGTATTACTCAGGGATAATTTCAAATCCAATTGTATTCAATTTACTTTGCTTGTATTCGCGAATGCATTTATTGGAAACCCATTTAAATATGAATAGTACATGTACCTGCCACTATTCCATTCTTATTTAAATGTGTTGGTCATAAAATACTAGGTTAATCCGGCAGCCGACAGGTGTTAGTTGTATTCGCGAAAACAAAGTTAAAGAGGGGTAAGAGAAAAGATCTATCCAACTATAGAAAATCTGACATTTTCAATGCCCATAAATTCTTTGTTGATGAATGTTCATGTGGGAAAAGAAGGATAGCAGTGGAGTGGACTGCGTAAAGAACTGCAGCAGTCCTAAATGTGTCCTGATAATTATAAACAAAGGCAATGGTAAAGATGTGTTGTTTGAATAACTCATAAAGTGATTACCCTTTTTTCATTCCACATATTATATTATAGAGCTTTGTATAAGTAGAAAATCGTGGACCCTGCAATCATCAAACTCGAAACAGATTCAAGTAATGATAGTGATTTAGACTTTCTATTTGAATACTTATAAAAAGCTTTTCTTGTACCTTTGAAATGGTCCCTTGTAGTACATACCCCTCATGGTCAATACATTTATGCATATGAAGTACAACTGCATACTTAGGTCACATTTGCTCCGATTTTCACTACTGCGCCCGGCCGATTGAGTATTTTGTTCAAATCGAATACAATATTGAACAAAACACTCAATCGGCCGGGCGCCGGCCGATGGATCGGAGCAAATGTGACCCAGGCATTACTCCCTGATTTGCATGTTTTTGATTTTTGTTTACACCATGGTAAATTCTCATTGGAATTTTGTTCTCTAGCTTTAAAACTAAATCAATTGAAGAACAAATCATTGAATCACAAATCCATTTGGGACAGAGACATTCCATTTGCAACATATTGTTGTTTTGTGGATAATATGTGTTCATGCGTTCATGTTCATGTTCATGTTCAGTTCACTTCACATAATTTACAGTT